TATGTTTTTTCAATTGGGACACCCCGTATATTTTTTTTTTTTGAATAGCTCTTTGTGAGCTAATTTCAATGATATAAGGTTTTATACCTTTACCTTCAATGGTTTTGGAGAAAAAAAAAATTAATTCCGTTTTTTCCATGAGACAATGAGTTAGAAAGAGATAGTTTAACTATAAATCGGCTATAAATTTCTTAATTCTTATATTAATTTTTCAGTTCAGCTAACTTTTTTTTAAATTTGAACCGAGATTTGAACTATGAATCGGGGGTGATAAATAGGCAACACATAATTTATTTAATCTACGTCGGTGTCATTATGACACATTTAGCATTGTCATTTGAATGTCATTAGGTCCTTCATAATAGCACTAGTGCGTTTAAGAATTCATAAAAACACCCAAATTATAAAATGAAAAATATACAAAAAGAAAGCTAGTTATCAGAAGAACCTTTTCACTGATGCTGTCTCGATATTCGAACGGACACTTTCGAACTCAGAGTCACCAATTCTTAACATTATTTTCCACTATAAAACTGAATTTATGGCACCAAAATTGACTCCAATATTGAAGCTGCCAAAGTCAAAATTCTAAAAATCAACAAGCAGGTTTCCGTTTAGTACGGGCACCTGCTAAATTTTGAATTTTAATTTGAAAAGTATTTGCTATTTCAAGGCAAATCAAATCTTTGGACCATCGTAGATTAAATTTTGAATGATACACGTTCGATATGAACTTTATTAATGAAACTTGTGTAATTAAACCACTCGGCTAACGCCTGGTGGTTTAACATTACACGCGTTTCATTATGGTGTTCATATCGACAGTGACGCTTTAACCTTTCTCTGGCCCGTAGGTCAATTATTTAGTATGGCCTTTCATGAGTGATTGTTCTTTTTTATAGGATTAAATAAAATCATTCAGGGCTGGCGAGTCACCTCCGAGTTAGTTTTAACTCCCGAGTAAGCGTGTTCGGTTGCTATGTTTTCCCTGGAGTTGGAGTTATCCTTAACCCGGGGATGACCTGCTATTGAAAAACCGGCCCTCAGACGATTTCAAGCTACTAACCTGGCAGAATATGAAGACAAAAAATGTTGCCAAGTAGTATTCGGTAAAATCAAAGAACTACAAAATGATGGAACAAGAATGGTCACAAAACATGCTATATGGTCGGAGCGTCCTAAAAGAAAATGATGGCATTGAGCTCCCAGCCTATTAATCACCACATATGGATGCACGCATTAGCGAGGAAAAGATGCATAAAGGGTTGCAACTCTGAGGAAAATTCGTATCACGTTGCCTGTGCATGTCCTACAAGCTCAACAACAACAAGGCACGACTTCGTGGTACAATGGACCCTTAAGACACTGCTCAAGTTCCTGGATGCTCTAGAAGAAGCTCAAAAAAACTTACAATTTTGCAAAGCAGCGCAAAGACTAACAGGTTCCTGCTGTAATCGTTGCCAGTTGCCACGTGCCCGTGCTGCGCTAATGACGCGACGGCGATTCAGCGCAGCTCGGTGACTCTAGGGCGTGTTCCGGATTGATGCTCGATGGAGCGAGCGGAATGATTCCAGAGCATCCTGACGTCAGGCAGTGCACTCTGGCCAAACCAAATGTGCTTGTGCAGTGTGAATTATAAGAATTAAAGGGTATTGAAATATCTGCTAGTCCTGCTACTAAACAAGTCGATATTTTTAATACAGTGGGCTTTTATATTTTATATTATAAATTAAAGGCCAGCGGTTGGCCTTCATTCTCTAGTGGCCCGTAGGACATGACCTAATTGTCCTAACGGATAAAGTGTCCCTGCATATCGAACTAGTATCATTAATAACTATAATAACCTATCTCTCTCTAGCTCATTGTTTCTTATGGAAAAACGGAATTAATTTTTTTTTCTCCAAAACTATAGAAGGTCAAGGTATAAAACCTTATATCATTGAAATCAGCTCACAAAGAGCTATTCAATAAAAAAATAATATACAGGGTGTCCCATTTAAAAAAACACAACTTTGGTCAATATTTCAAAATCGGAGGCATCTGGAGAAAAATTGGTCATGCGACTGGATTCTCCTTGGAAAACTGCTTATAGAAAGTATTTTTCGTTTTTGGATATCTTGATTAATAAAGGAATTAGAAGGTCTTCTAAAATTGAAGAAAGAGAGAAGTATTTGTGTTTTTAATCGATCGTTCCTTGTAATGGTGCCTCTGCGTGTTGAATGATAACGAGGAAGAGTTTTTTTTTGAGGCAGAACAATTGTCTTCCATCTCATCTTTAGTTGTTTTGCCATGTACAAAATTTTGATTCCCACCTAGTTTCTCTAGATCTTCACAAGCGTCCACTTCAATCAACTCAGAAACTTCCAGTATATCTTCATCAATGTTATGAAGGCTGTTTCCTGTAATCAAGGGGTCAGATGATTCCTTAGGAGATCCAGGCAGAATAATAAGAGGTCCTAACACTGACGATAATACTGGAAATGTCAAATGATGATGGCATCTCTGATACTGAGCTCGATGATGAAGGTTTTTTTTGGAGGTATGAGAGAATGCTTGGGTTTTTTGAGGATCCTTCTTGGTCTTTGTGATTTTTTTTACTAGTTTGAGAAAAACGAGTCTTGATATGCCTATTAAAATTTGAGCGAACCCATGTTTTTTGTGGGTATTTAGACTACACTAACAGTAACAAAATCACACTCTGGGCATCGTATCCATGGATTTCCCTCTTTTAATACCACAAACCACTGCCATTTTGTCTATATTAGCTAGAGATCGTTTTCGTTTGATTTCTAAGTCTTCTGAAAGGTCTCCCAAATTAGATAAAAAATTACTAGAAGTATGAATTATACATTTTTATATGCATTATTGTGGATTGTCCTAGGGATTGTGATTAATTTTCTTGGCTTTCATAATTATGAAAGATGTCGAGAGATTATTTTCAGAACGCTCATCTGCGTTGAATCTCTGTGCTCAGGTTTCTACAAGCTTTTTCATGTTGCTTACTACGTCACTTACGTTTCAAATATCATGTCAAACAACTAAACAAATGTTTCTATTGAGGATTCCATATAAATATTGCACAAATCAAATTCGCGATCAAAAGAGTGTGACAAGTGACTGCGAATGCCGCGACCAAACTCCTCAGAATTGTCGTGAATACCAATGAATGCCGCGCGACTTCCAGCGACTACCGCGCGACTTCCAGCGACTACCGCGCGACTTCCAGTGACTACCGCGCGACTTCCAGTGACTGCCAAGTGAGTTCTAGCGACTACGCGGAATTGCGTCACTGACTGCCAAACTTTCAATGACTACTAAGCGAATTCCTGTGACTTCCACAATACAATCAAGAAAATGTACATGTAATTCCAGAAGTGACACACCCCTCGGGAAGGACCTAAGTCCTAAGTAGTTTTTATTGTTGGAAAATTACGAAACAATTTAAATCACTCTACATGATTTAAATACTTTCAGGTGATTTAAATCTTTAAAAATATTTAAATCTTTTAAACAATTTTTTTATAAAAAAAAAAGAACGGCAAATTTTCAGTTTTTCCAACTACTTAACTATAGTGGCACTACAACTGCAAATTTTCACAAAATAACTTTTTTTCTACTACCGTGCGTAAAGTACTCACTTTACGCACTATATGTAAGTAGCTGTCGTCATTATAAAAGTGGCTTCCCACAGCCCGTGATATCGCAAGCTGGACCAAGTCCGGACCAAATTTTAAAAGGCATCGGCAGCTGCCTCACCACGATGCGTCGGTGCGCGAGGTTACTTCAGTGCACTCGTTCGTTCAGTGGTTCAGTGTGGATTTCAACAAGTGAAGCTTTCCGCGCCGCGCCGTCACAGGCCAACACAGCCCGCGTCGGATCGCGCCTTTGAAGACTTTCGACGGATAGTTCGAGACGCACCCTTCCCACGGAGCGTTAGCTTACAATATCACGGGCCGTGGGAAGCCAGCTTTAGTGAGGCCACTTTCACATGCTGCGAATATGGCAAATTATGATATTATTTGACGCAGATAATAGGTGCATGGATGCAACCAAGAATGAACAATATTTTGCAAGATTATTAAATAAAATAATAAATAAAAATAGCAGAAACAAAAAATTACATGACTGAAAACGGCTTCTCATTGGCTAAAGCCATGCTTGTTGCTACATGCTACATTTGAAAATGCGAAATTTGAATGAGTCCATAGCGATTATGCCCTATTTTTTTACAACATAGTAAAGGACGAGAATAGTTTCTAGGTAGTGAGTTGTGTAATGATTTACTAATGAGACATTCGGCATCCTCGCATTTCTGGGAAAGTGACGTCACATTCCCATACTGCGTTTTAAAAAATAAGAGTTTTTTTCTGGAAATAAAGTATACAGATATTATAAGAATGACAAACAGAATAATTTAAAAATGTTTTTGAGAAATATGTGAAAGTGGGGCCTATTGTATTACATGACAAAAATGCAAACATAATATAAAACAAACCTAATTATTAATGATGTAGGTATAGGTACTAGTTATTTATATCTTATATGACCCTTTAAATTTTTTCTCCACCAATATAAACTGTGCCAATATAGACCAACTAGGGTAGGTATGGTAAGTGACTTGATTTTAATCACACACACATACACTACCTACCTACCTATATGATCTAAAAATGTATAATTTATTTATGGTAAGTAACTTAACCTACCAAATAATGTGGTTAATTGATTACTGGGCTACAAACTAGTTAGTCTATATAGCAATTGGTCAAAATTCAAATTATGGATGTGCCATGCCAAATAAATTTCGAATACAAAATATGTACCTATGTTAATGTAGGTATACAAATCATTATATCACTCAGAAAAACCAATTTGCTAAATTAAAAAATAAGGTAAGATTTCTTATAGTAACAGTACATAAAAAAAAAAAAGTTCATAAAAGAAAAACAAAGAAGTGGAGTAGGTATGTACCTCAGCTCCTCAGAATATTCTCTACTTACTGCTTGGGTCAACGTTTTATTGAATGACAAAAAGTATAAAACTATGATTTTTGCTTAATTCCTTAGTATCACAACTAATTTGAAATCACAGCATTAAATTGAAAACATTGTCCTTTCAAAAAGTTCAAAAAAAAACATAGTATATATTCAATGCACTACAACTAGAACGCGCACCATAAAGTCCACAAACACACAGCTGATCGAGTGTCCGTTTATGATAACGTCACCTACATCATTCCGCATCAAAATCGGACTTGACTGGATGCGAGTTTTTTCCATTATACTTTCTTTGCTCCTTCGGAATTTCCCCCAGTCCAACCAATTCACAGTAGGGGAACAAAATAAATTTGTTCGTCAATGAGGGTTCATATTACTTATAGGCAACCTAGATAACTTTACGAACTGTTGGTAGCATCACTACTATCATATCGAAAATATTCAATAATTTTCCAGTGGCGACTCGTAAGTTCGGTCATTAAATATAGGTAGGAACCAATTAGTAGGCTCTGATATGACTTTTCGTTTCTAAGTCGTGCTAAAATTGTGAAATAATTTTTATGTGGAATGACGGACTATATTAAACCATATTGACTTAGGGCGGGTATTATAAAACTACTTTGAAAGTTAACTTAAAGTTAACTTCTGGAATTACATGTAATTCAAAAAGTTAACTTCAAGTTAACTGTCAAAGCAGTTTTATAAAACCCGCCCTAAGAAATTTAAATAAAAGTGATAATTGACATTAAAAATTACATAACTACCTAAGTTTTATAAAAAAAAAGTCTTGAAATTTTATAACAGTAAAGTTTTAGTGAAAAAATCAGTAGTAAAAGTACCTATAGCTACAGGGTGTTCCTAGAGCATACAAGCAATTAATTCTTTAAAAACCGATTTTCTCATTTAAATAGTGAATAGAGTATTGGTATTATGCCAAATATGCCTAGAGCTATCTTTTACATACCATTATTATTTTATACAGGGTTTCCCTAAAATCAGCAATTTTATCTTGAGATTACATCTATTTCCCACAGTACTGGAAGTATGTGGAGTAAGACATTCTGTTAAGCAGAGCAGGAAGTATAAGAAAGTCCTTACAGAACTATGATCCCATGCCCTATTGGGCAAGCTGTCAGAGAGAGCTATCAATTCCAGGATCCTACAGGAAACTGATGATCTGGACTGGAATTGATTCCTGAAGAACAATTTGAACTTTAGGTCATTCGACCAAGCTATTAGGCGCTCAGACTAGCCGACCATACCACAAATGGATTTAGTTGGAATTAGACACCTAGTCTTGTTAGATGTCGAACGACAGATTCTGGCATGACTGATTAGTTTACACGAAGATTCAAGCCGTCTTTCAAGAAATGGCTTGCAAACTGGATCAAAATTATCTGACAGCAAGAATCTTCGGCGTAAAGATTGACATCGCTCAAGAACTAGATAACTGGAAGCCGGCGTTCCACAAGATCGGTGCTCTCGCCAAACTATGATCGCCACAATCCGAAGACACAGGACGTGAAGATTGCATGACGTAGCTGATTCAGCAGTTCTGAAGGGGTTAGAGAGAAACTCCATAGGGAGAAATGACCTTGAAACCAGAATTGTGCATCAACATCAACACTGAGAGAATTAATTTTAGACCATTATAAAAATCTTAATAATCTTAATAAAAATATCGTATAAAATGGGGGACAGATAAGCGCTGTAGTTACCATTATAAAAGTCACTTTATAAACTACTACTTTGCTACCATTGATAGACCAATTTACTGAAATCGCCTAAAGACCATTAGAAATTTATAAACGAGTCACAATAAAATAGTTGAATGGCTAAAAAATGGTTTTTTAACTGTCAATAAATATTTCATGATGGTTATTAAACTGTATATTAACCCTTAATATATCTTATAAGGGATAATATAAACATTTTAATAATAACAGATACATATCTTTATACCATTAATTTTTTTTTTTGACCACCAAAAATTCTTTTTATAATCATAACAAGATAACCTTATAAGGCCCAGTTATACAATCTTGGTTAAAAACAGAGTTCGGCTGAACTCGACTGGTACTTGAACTTCTCCATTTAAAATACATTGCTGTCAGCTATTAATCAAATTTTAGCTATTTTTGACAGCAATGCATTTCAAATGGGGAAGTTCAAGTACCAGTCGAGTTCAGCCGAACTCTGGTTTTAACCAAGATTGTATAACTGGGCCTTATAAGGTTATCTTGTTATGATTATAAAAGGAATTTTTGGTAGTCAAAAAAAAAAATTAATGGTATAAAGATATGCATCTGTTATTATTAAAATGTTTATATTATCCCTTATAAGATATATTAAGGGTTAATATACAGTTTAATAACCATCATCAAATATTTATTGACAGTTAAAAAACCATTTTTTAGCCATTCAACTATTTTACTGGACTCTTGTTTTTCAAAAAAAAAAGAATGCAGAAAATCCTAGCTTCAGTTGCTTTGTGCAATAATTATTACAAATCTGAAAATTAATGAAAGCATTGAGGGGGTTATATTTATACTTACTCCATAGCTCACCTTCGATAAATGACTGTAAGCCCCACTCTAGAAGGGCAACTTTACACGCCATTGTCAGACCAGTGCCAGTGTAAATCCAAAATCCAAGGTTATAAATGATAAATAATTCAAAATGATTTAAATAATTCTACCCAAGTCATCCTTTTTCAGAGAACAGCAATCTATTTTGGTTTTTATTAGGTACTCTTCCGATCTGACAACCCGTCGACCCATGGTTGTACCTTAATTTCGGTTATGGTCGGACCTGAGTCCTAGATCCTCTTATTCGATGTCGATATGACCCTTGACCACCTTTAGCTAGATGACAATTTAACGAGTGCCTCAACTGTTTGACAACAGCCAAGAAGTACTGAAAGAAACTGGAAGTGACATGAGGTTGTGGAAAACATTCAGCTCAAATAAGGGGTCGCTAACGCAACTTGGTTTTTGCAGAGATACTTGCGATGGGAATCTCAAGAAGACTTCGCATGTGAAGAAACGCAGAGGATAACTTCGTGAGGGTGGCCACACATTGGAATTTGGTTCTGAAAGTTACTAGACTAGGACTAGGACTCTGCAGAAAACATGCTTATAGATCACTTAGGCCCAGTTGTACAATCTCGGCTCAAAACAAAGTTCAACTGAACTCGACTGGTACTTGAGCTTTCCCATTTAAAATACATTACTGTCAGATATTAATCAAATTCTCTCAATTTTGACAGCAATGCAATTCAAATGGGGAAGTTCAAGTACCAGTCGAGTTTAGCTGAACTCTGTTTTGAACCAAGATTGTACAACTGGGCCTTAGAGCATCGTTATGGCCGTAAATAAAAATTACGAAAGCAGCGTGGATGTCGAGTAACCCCGGTGGAATGTTTTGGCCGGCGTTTTTGCGGCTCTGCAGGACGCTGTTAACTTTCCTAAAATTTAAGGAAATTTGTAAATTAGATTAGGTAGGTGATAATAAGTATTTAAAAATATATGTTAGAGGAAAAATACGTTTTGTAATGTGAACTATGTTTTTCTAATAATTTGAATTTGCAGGAACGGAAACTAAAAATTATTTCTCGGGCCTGGGCTTGAACTCAGATAACGCTTTGTATAGAATTTTTTCTTGGAAGCGGTACCTTTGACGTCAAACTGCAAAAAAATGTGTGTCCTGTCAATATTCTCTTATACCGGGTCTTTTGAATTAGTCTCTCACCAGTGGCATCTCGCAAATTATGGAAGATTCATTTGACTTTGATCCTATAGCAACATAATGAAAACAGTAGGTATTAAAACAAAAAAACAATTTTTTTGTTGCAAAAATTTACTTATATATGGAGATTTGTTAGTTCGTAAATAATTTAAATCACGTGAAAGTAAAACAAGAAAAAAAAACAAAAAAGTATTAAAACTGTTCATGCTTCACGTTGACTGCCGACCATATTTTTTGAGACATTCTCGGACGCCATTAAGTTTTATTCGTTTTGTTGGACAAAAGCCTTTAGAAGGACGCCGGAGCGACTGCGACATTCTTTCGCCAACGCCTACTGAATATAGACTCACAAATTGAGCATGCACAACACGCCGATCGGAGTAGTTGACATCGCCGATTGGTGCCAGTACACTCCGATCGGAGTGGTCGGCAGTCAACCTGTTAACTCCCAATATTTTCCAAAAAACTGAAAATCCGAAGTGACAACAAGTTAAGTCTTTATAAGCCTTTTACAGCAAAACAGCTTGCTCATTTTGTAAAGGAAAAACTTGGAACCACGGAGTTTATCAGATGCTTTCCAATGCTCCAAAATAAAGACTGCTCTCACACTGATTTCAAAGTTGGTGTTCAAAACAAAAATCACCTAAAGCAGCTTTTGGACAGAAGCATGTGGCCTCCAGGTACGGGTATAGAGACTGCTAATTCATCTGCAACACTTTTAAAGGCATCGCCACCGTCGGCAGCAATTACAGGAGATCCACAGCATCAGTCTCATCACCATTTCAAACCCAACACTGCGGAGGGCCGAAGTAGACCACTAAACTCTGACTCAACCCCGATTAACCCGACTAAGGATGATAAAACTATCAGGATTGGTTCTGACAGGGAGGCTATAGCTGTTTCTAAGTCCCTGGCACTAGACAGCACAAAAATTGTTATGGATACAAGTAGAAAAAAAGATGAATCAATCATGGACCCGATGACTCCACCCATTGTGCGATTATCGCGAGCTTCCGATACAGCTGATGGTCGATATTTATTGGCTAGACTAAGAGACCCTGCCATTCTTAAAGCTCTTAGGCTATTCCTGGCTTATCTCCATGATCAACCATCCACCGTGTGTTTTGATGGGCACACTAACACCAGCATCAAATTAATGTTAGCTTCGGAGGGACTTCCTAGTGACTTGGACTCATTGCGGAAGTTATATTTCCGTTTCCACAACGCGTATGGCATTGGTCTGGCTGAAGTTGACGCTGATCTCTCCGCCTTCAGGTCTTACTTCTCGTCCGAGAAACTTCTCCGGTTACAGAATATTAGGGAAAGTCAGAGCAAATATTTCTCTAGTGGCTCTCCACGTAATAATAAATTTTTTTAGATAAGGTGACGTGACCAGAGGATCAAGCACCCTCTGTAAGGTTGGACGATGGCAAGCTTAGTGTATTTCTTATTAATATTCAGTCCTTAAGACACAAAACAGATGAATTATTTTGCTTAATTTTCCAGAAATCATCGCCGTTACTGAACATTGGTTAAATATGGATGAACCTGTGTTTGTCAAAAATT